TGCACCTAAGATTTAATTTATCTTGCAATGGAAGTTTATACACACAGTGTTGCTGATTTTCTAACATCATTTGTGTACATGTAAAGACCAAAGTATCAATACATGTTTGTGGCCACTTAAAATGTGATACTTTTTTAAAATTTATATATAAGAAGAAGTACACATTTTACAAATACCATGAATCTAATAAAATGATATATTTCTATTGTTTTGTTGGATTTGATTTAACAAAAATATTGTAGTAACCTGAAAACGATAAGCAATGATAAATATATACACAAGTCTTGTTATGGTTATCGTAATTGCAGTCTTCCTTTCACGTCTTTCCTCCCGCAGCCTCGAGCTCAAACGACCGTTTTACAGCGCGCCCTTGATTGCTTTGCTATTCGAGATAACGATACATCCGTCAGTTCTTTTAGGGAATAATAAATACTAGAAAGAAAACAAGTGAAAACTAGATTAGCTTGGTTCTCACAAAATCTAAATTTAATTGTGCGTGTTGATAGACCGGAATTAATGATTTAAAACTTCTTTCGTTAATGGATTTTGTTTACTTATACGTCAATCATCGTAAGGAATAGTAGAATATGAACAAGATAAAATGGTTTTAAGCTGTGCTGCTTGTTTATGTAATCCTTTTACATTTATGGATAAATTATTCGTGCTTGAATAATAGTTGTAGGTCATGTTGACTGCAATTAACACAGACGGGTCCAACCGACGCAGAAAACCGTGGGCCGCTGCTCCCACATTTTAACATCGACCTTTATTTAATTTATTCAATATTGAAGTAATATTTTAGTATATACTTTCATATATAAGGGTGTTGGTACATATAGATTTCGACATACTTGATAATCATTGAGCAATATATAACGACAGAAGATTTATTTGATTTCTACTCAAACTTCAAATATTACAAGATGATTGTCAGCGACTAATATTGAAAGTCGGGCTGGTTATTACTTTACTTTTCATATTTAATTTATTTGTGTTATGAATTTGAAATGTTATAATTGATAAAATCTTAACAATCAATGGCTACATGTCTATTGTAATCTAATCATTAATAATTATTCCATAATAAGTTTAAATTTCATATATCAAAATTAGGAAGCTACAACATGATTTAAGCACGTCAACCGGAGATATCTCTGCACTTAGCTCAAGGAATCTGAAAAATGTTTTACTAAGTTATTTGTACGTATTCAAAAATTCTCTTTCACACCCACGGGACTGGTTTCACTTGAAGTTCTAAAGCGATCGATTTTCATTACAAATACCCACGCATTTGAATAAATTTGTTACTTGAAACAACTAACCCACACTTACTTTCGTTCAAAATTATGGAATAAACCCATGCTAATGCGCTTAGTTAGTAGGATTGTTATTAAAAAGTGCTTAGATTAATTATTGAAGAAATGTACCGTTATAAAATAATGACAGTTGTTATAAGCAAGTCTTGCTTGGCAGAAACTTCTTATTAGTTGAACGATCACGTCGCTTAGTGTCATGATTGGACGCATAAAGCATTGGCGTCGTGGGAACGTCTCAAGAATAGGTTCTTACTTGAACCAGTTTGCCAAGAGCCGACTGCTGCCTTTTCCAGGTCGATAAGATAAAAACTCATATGTCAATATTAGCTGTCTGACGCACCTTATAATAAAGTTATACTTCTGTCCTTTTATGTTAAACTAAATCATGATAATGAAATCGATGACTGTTTTGAAATAGGTATATTAATTAATCAACCCACATGTTACAATATGTCGAACGACTGGAATAGCCTTGGCTTCTTACACCTCCGCGCTACCCACGGCAACCCTCATTTGGTCATTCATGTAGGCGCAAATGCCTAATCACAAACTAAGGAACCTTATAATGACCCAACTAAGACTTACTTTTGCTGCAGGGTTGCGGAATAGTCAATATCAAAGTCAAGTAGCGCCCACACTTCAATACGCAATTGCATTATTATTTATTCTGATCTCATTAACAATGTTGTTATATACCATGCGTCAACTACTTAATACTGAGGTGTAATTTAGTGCCATTGAAAAGAGCAATCTTTTTGTTGAGCATCTGGCTGTTCTTTAACTATTAAATAGTTATACTAGAGTTAGCAACATAGAATAGGCTTCTTTTGTAGGCTTATTTTGTCTACGGGCTATTAAACTCTATTTTATCATTATCACTATACAAGTGTATATCATGTAAGATACCTTATCAGTTAATCGTATTATTGTATTACCTGATATCACTGGTTGTTTAAGTAGCACTACGACAAGTTTAAGCGATACGATTTAATCTTCAATGGGTCAATCCCTGTCATTTTTATTACTGATTTGTCATTTTTGTAAACAATTCCGATAGCAGATAATTATATAATTTAATCTAAAGTGATAACAAATTAAGACATTATTTAGGTATTAGTAATATAGGTATTTTTTTTTCATTATAACTTTAGTTTCTCAGTGTCTTAAATATCAACGTAACGAGATCCGCCACGCTTGTCTACGATTTTGCCTTCAATGTTTTCGTCAAATCTCTACAACTGGACCGACAAGTTAAATAAAGCGTGAAATCACTTTATACGCATCTTCAATAATATTCACATATTCAATCTTAATTAATTTCATATTATGAATTCTTTAATTATCTTATGACACCACCAGGGCTTATTACATTAAATCGCAATAAACGATGCTTAATGGTTGAGTTATGGCTTTAATGGACAATGTTGTCAACACGTTTCGATGTATGATGCAACTTGACAATTATTTAATGATTTGTACCTAATCTTACTGTGATAAAAAATATGTTGAAATCTATGAATTTATTACAATGGAAATAACAGGAATCAAGTCTAACAGAAATTCTTAACAAAGAAATATGTATAAAAAAGTCGGGACTAACAATAAATTATATACATAAAACATACATAAACAACGTAATCAGAAATCACAAATAATGACTTGTAATCATAAATACCTTATAAGTTATATAGATTAAAGAATTAATGAAAATTATTTGAGTTTGATAAGAAACTAGCCTGTTATATAATAACACTTATTTGTACTTTGAGTGAAGTGGATGAAATACGATTGCAAGATAAGAATGCTAAAAAGGTCGAGTGATGTTAATATATGGAGTTAGAATCCAAATATGAAACGGGTAGCCGCGTAATGAAATACTGGAGAGGGAGCTATTAAAAGTCTTGGAAATATACAGGCTGTAAGTACATTTATTAAATATATATTAGTGTTAAAGTAATAATTGCTATTATAAAATATAAAAATAATGAACATCAATTGAAAGTCACGCACGCAAATGTATATATGATTACAACAAAGAAGGGTTTTCTGCCTTGAATAGGTATCTATTCAAGGCAGAAAACCCTTCTTAAGATATATGTATATATATCCTATTCCAAAACATATCAAAAGTTTTGGTGACTAATCAGTTGGTTCATGAAATAGATGAATCACAGCCCCTTCGTTAATAAGTTTTCTTCAGATGTTACAAAATTTTAAGACTAACTATGTTTTACATTCATTTAAGTATGATTTTTGCTAACATGTCCTAAAAGTTGACCGTAAAACGTTACGGTATTATAATATTTTGTATTGAGGTGTCAGACTAACAGGCCTTGCCTTAGAATGGGACGTGACTAGAGTTAATTACTTTTTGTTACCAGTTTGTACCACCTCTGATTGTTTTTAGTGTTCATCGTCTCGTCGTGTTTCATATTTTACTAATTGTTTTTGTTTTCTATATAACTGTTGTCACAAAACCACATTTGATAACAATGAGTCAACAGATAACGAGTTTAATTTAAGCAAGTTTCCTCACCCATAAAATTCTATTTAATATGTAACAAAATATGATTTAATATTCATTCTATTTATTATAGACACATTGAATAGTATTTTTAAAACGGGAGCCACACAAAAAGGTAAAAAATTTTGTGCTATTAAGAACCGGACATATTTTTTTATGATAAGTTAATAACATTATAATTACATATCTTGTTATATTATTATTCGATAATTGTTAAAATGTTATAAGAAGTTCATTTATAATAACAGATGACATAAATTTTATGCAAATTAGATTTTAATTTTTGTCAATCTTCACTACATATATATTACAAAAGATAGACGAGATACATCGTTTAAATTGTAATTATACCTACTAATTAAATAACCGTGATGCTATTTAAAATTTTAAATAATTTATGAATAAACAAATCACTCTGTATATAATCAAAGTGGTCAATAAATGTTTAGAATCATAACATTATGCTAATAAAGATACTCGGTAAGTTGACTATAGCTATTAAGTTATAACTTATAATATTATAGCTAATTATTCAAAAGTATGAAATATTCAGTGTTTAACGATAACACCTACTCGCTACCTATACACTGTTAGGATGCGGAAAACGAGGTTATAGCAAGTTTTAACTTGTGCGCCTGCGTCGCTTTACGTACAAATCTCATATGACTGAAAACGGTGGTCGACTACGGTACCTACACGAAGTGGCGACATTCCAATACACGCGCGGAATGTAACACGGCCCTACAAACAGGTTAAGCTCAGGACCAATGATCCTTCTCTTTTGCCCGCCCCACTTTATTATAAATATTTCTTCAATCAAATCAAATTGCAATATGGATTCTAAAATCATTCGTTATCAGCCCTAATATGATTTAATTGCGTTCGCTACACTGCAGTCATTGTACCGATCCGTTTATGGCGACAATCTAACAGATGCTGACCGCAAATCGGCACCGCAGAGACGTTCTCCTTTACTTCACTTTTCGAAATGCAGGATCGCGTTACAGTCATCGCTGGACCATAACTCGGTGAGGCGAAGACTAAAATAAACTTAATATCGTGTGCGTTTGACGACGCATCCAATTTATAACGGAGCCGGTGACAAGAAACAGCAATACATAATAATGATTTTATAATAACAGTGTGCAAATTTAACCTACCTTCATCCAGAAGTCTCTCCATGTGCATGAAAACATTCGGGAACGCAGCCAGTTGCTTCCTGTCTTTGAGCAACTGGGCTAAGTAGTCCGCTATACTTTGCGTCGAAGGATTGGTAGTATCACACATTTTGATTACTTTTTATACAACTTGGGCCACGTTAAATGTTTGTAATAATCACGCTGAATATGAAATTGTACTTTAGTATTGGTTATTGTTATTTTTGTGAGAATACTATGTTAGAAAAGTTAACTTCACTACCACACACATCGAAGTTTCGGTCACCACTAAATGACGAAGTTGACCGAACTGAAGTTGTGGGCGAATATAGCTGCGCTTGCGCTCTCATCGAATGTATTTTTTTGTAAGCGCGTGCGGCTGCTGTCCTCAGTGTAGGCGTAATAATAACTTATATTTATCTCTTTCACACCCGCTGCGAAGGGGCAAACGTCTCTCTCCGATAAAAGAGGACAGTAGTTGAGGAGGCGCCATCTAGTTAACCTACTTACAACTACAACAGCAACTGCTTATTATACCGATGACGTACGTCTAAATCTTAAATTCCGCAATTGAGTACTAGTGTCAATACAGTTTGAAATTAAAAAATATTTAAAAATCACATTGACCTTCTTTACTAAGGACAGTATTACATGTGGGAAACGGAAGGATGACATATTAATATGTTGTAGGAACTCCAAAGTTTTTTCTTATGACATAATGATCGTATTTACCTTAATATTGTTTTTTCTACAAAGAATGAAGTAGGTATAGACATTTAGAAACCAAGGGCCAATTTCACCAGCTGATGATGGGTTCCAAGTATCTTGTTAACAGTGTTCCTACTATTCTGCATTTCAGTGTTCTGACACTGTGTAACAAATGAATTCTATGATTTATAATTAATTATGCATTAACAAAATTGATGGCTATAAATGAAAAAATATATCATATTTAAATATCAGACCGCTTTCAAAATATTAGACTGTACCCCTGATACTACACCTAAAAATTGAAAACAATTAATAATATGATAAGTTATCTTTAATTTTTCAGTAGATGTCAGCAGAGAATAGCAGAGTTTATAAACCAAATTTTTGACTTAAACAATCAAATAACAGTTAATTTTATTAAAATATATTTATGATCAAAAAACGAATTAAGTCGTGCATTACACTTACATTTGTACTAATATAAGGTGCTGCATTATTATATATGATAGTTTTCTTCGCCACCCATTAAATCGACTTAGAGCCACTTTGATGTTTAAATTTGTTTTTAGCTATGTTTGATCAATTAAAATTACCCGAGTTGGTTTCATTTTATCAATTTCGTTAAAAGGATAAATGGACAATTGACCCCTATTCAATGGTCTGGGATCTATCGAATTAAACGGATTAAACAAACTTCCACGGTCCATTTCCAAAATAACTGTAAAGTACGATCAACTTTATTGTGATAACGTTTATCATAGCAATTTAAGTCAATTGCTTTGTGTGTTTGGAGTCTGACAAGTAATGTTTCGTTTAAGATTCTATTAAGAAATACAGATAAATATAAAAAATTGTTTTGAAACTTACGAAATATCAAAAGTATACTGTGGTTTTGTGAAACCACGATGCAAATAAATCTTTAAAATTAACTTGAATTTTTATCGAATATAAGTCGATGTAAATTGTTAATTATAAAACTTACACTGAAATAAGATGGAATGTAGGAGACCAAAAAATAGAACTAAATATTTAAATTTAAATTTGAGTTTTAAATTACACGTAGGGTATATTAACATTTTACTGTTCTGATGATAAATGTATATTTTAAAGTGAGCAAATTATTTGCTAAAGTCGTAATAGTAACACAAATACCTGGTAGGACTTACAAGAGTGACTGTGAGTATAGATGCTATTCTCAGCTGAAGAGATCGTCTGCCTTAGACTGTTTCGCCCAGCCCTGTTGAGATTAACTTTACTTTGCAGCCCGCTATAATATGCAATAGATGGAAAAAATAAATTGAGATGGTAAGGTTTAAAAAAAATTAACAAAAAGAAAAATAATATATAAATGGTTAGTGATTCAGATACAATAAGTCTGCTATTTATTCAGCACGTACATACATAGCATGTAACATCGCAATGTTTTCTTTGAATATTTATAAACAAATTATTTAAATCATCCAATCTCATAACACTATACTACTATATTAATTTAAAATATATATAATAATACTTTAGGCCATACATTTGGGAATTTGTTGTACCTACAGCTATTGAGATTTTCGATTATAACAACATTTTTTTTTCACTCGAATATCTTTCATGTAAAGTTGGTTACAAAGGAACAATATTCACACATTCTCAAAAATTACGTAGAACGTAAATAACTAAATATTAATTCATATATATGTAATAATTGCAACTTATTATTACCGTCATTATAAAGTCTAAGCAATGTTGACGCTTAGTAATATACTATAATGGGTATCCGATGGTCAATACAATATTCACCATAATTATATACTTGGAAGATCTTGTATACCTTCATTAAAATATCATGATATAAACTACTTACTTATACTATACTAAGATGATAACATTATACAGTATTTTAACAGAATATTGTGAGGAATAAAACAATATTAGAGTGGAATATTAAGTATTTCTACAATATACAAAATATTCATAAATTAATGAAAACAGAGACCGAACCACTTAATACATAATCAAAATAGATATTTTATTACACATGCTATAAAATTACTTATTGCATAAAACCTTGGGCTTTTTCATACGTGGTATACATGTAGTTGCCTACTTTAATACATTCCTTTTTTTCTACATTGACCAAGTAAATCTTTATTTAATATTTGTAAAATAAATTTCAGCATGTATATCATTTAATGCATAAGATTAAATTGTTGTAATAAGGTAACAGCGACATATATCAAAATGTATTTAAATGAGTAAGTAATGTATGGATGCCTGCATTCTGCGGATACAATAATTATAGATAATATTAGCTATTAAAAATATATATAATATTATATAAAATTATCCAATTCATGTTATTGCCTTTTACTTTAAGGCTTATCGTTTAAAGTCTCTCTAGACTTTCACCCACCAAGTGGTTAGAGGTCTTCCTCTGGTTGTTACTCAACGAGAGGACTTTCCTCACTTTTCTTAAAGTAAAATTTTGTCTTATTATTACGTTATTAAAAAATTCAATATCAAAATGTATTGTTTGATTCAATTAGGCTGGTCTGCATAAGTAAAAGAACTTGATTAATTTTTAGTTCCCGTCTAAAGTAGGTACCTACTATATATAAAATGCTGTATAGTTTATAAAACTTATCTATAAGTTTTAATAAAATTATAAAATGAGCCAAAATCTGATAAACTAAATATTTTTATGATTTGTTCATAATGTAAACATAATTTTTCTAGAATAATAAATATGAAAGTGTGTGGATACGTAATGAACTAGTAGGTATATTGGAATGATTGTTTCTATTTCATGCTGAAATTTCTAGAAATTAATAATCTTTACATATATAGAAAAACATATAATGATTATCATAAATAAAGGCCAACATTAAATTATTTACTGGGAATAACTTAATTGGAAGAACCTAATTGAATTTTAATTTAAACCTCAAAACAGTTATGTTTTTAGCACAATGAATTTATATAATATTTAAGACATATTAAAATGTTAAACAATAAATATTTTATAACATTAATAAATTATTTAATGAATGAAAGCTAAGAGCAATTTTTGTAAAGATTATGTACCTTAAAATGTAAATAACTAAATAATCTAATCGATTTAAAGTGTTTATGACAACATTTTCACCAGTATATGTGCAGTATTTCCATAAACGCTATATCATTACTTAGCCTCTAACCACCTTTGGAAGGTCGTTTTAAGCAGAATTATCCAAACGTTTAGAACTCGATTACACAAAGATGGTAATAAAGTAGCGCCGCTTATGTCCTGATCAGTACTAACGCTGATCGATTTGCTGCGCAAATTATACTTTCACCGATAAACATTAGTCGATAGCGTTCAGTTTTATATACTGGTTACTGGTTTCCAAAAAAATTAAACTGTCTTTTAAATTATAAGTACCGCTTTTAAAAACTAAAAGAATTTGTATATAATTGGAAACATATATTCAAGTTTTCATCCCTTTCGTAGATAGGTACCTACCTATACTGTATTTTTTCTTATAAATATCTTATAAATCAAGGCTATTATTCGAAACTGGAAATATTCAAATCTGAAAGCATGGTTGTACTTTTTAATGTGGGTTGAAGAGCCGTGTGCACATTTTGCGTCTTAGACTTACATATCCGGCATTCTACCTACGAATCAAATGTGGAAAACATTACGTCATTGAGGCGACTTTGCAAAAACATTACGAACATCTTTGGTAAAGAAATCGGAACTTGATCTGACAAATAATCTTGTTAGGTATATACATTTGATTACAAAGTGAGAGTTTTAACGTTTACATACTAAGAGTGTAGGTTTTATATGCTTTTCTCACGAAACCAACTAGTTCATTTAACAAAATCGTTTACAGCCGCCCACTTGATTTGATTTATTCCAATTGTTGCTTTTATTACCTTATATGTGTAGACATTATTCATTTTAAGTAACATGGGTAAGTCCTCTTAATTTAGAACATATTATATAACAGTAAACAATGAAATATAACATTATAATCAATATTTGAATTAATTTTTAGAAGAAGATGATGATGAAAGTAGTTTAAACATTTATAAGTACAGACGTGGAAGAGATAGAAGTGATGAATTTTTAAAAGCAATAACCATTGGACATTTTAATGATGAGCAGAACATAATCGTAGAAGTTGATGAGAATAAGCGTCAAAAAACTTATGCTATATTGCAGGAACACCGAACTGATTTCTCAAACAACAAACTTCGTTATCTCCTTCTTATTTATTGTAATCCTATTTGGAATCTTTCTATATTAGTAGCGATTTTGCTTCAATACTTATTAGAGTCATGTCTCTATACGTTCATCGAACCAAGCAAACGATCGTCCTGGTTGATATTGTCTATATTTTTACTGAATATAACATTTACACTCGATGTAGCGGTCGTTGTTGGTTTAAAATTCTTCGAAAAGTGGCGCAAGACGCTTAACTTAATGGAACCAGATATGAAACGTGTGATTCTTGATGTTGTACTTGCAATGCCATATTGCTTCATGTATTTGATCAACCGTGAAGATAAAACGACATTTAATATTTATGCGATATCCCCTTTAATAGCCACTGCACGGGTTTATCGAATAATTGAATATTCCTATAATAAATCCTCTGAAGCTGGTACAAATCAATGGACTACTTTTTTGGCTCAATATCTGATATTATTATTGCTATCAGTGCATACTTGGACCTGCATTTGGTATTTATTTGCCTATAAATATTTTGATATTCATCTTATACGTTCGTCCTGGTCTATTGCTGCATCAAATTTTCCGACAGAAACCACTTTTGATTGGTATTTAGTTGGTGCTTATTGGTCAGTTATGTTTTTTACAACGAATGCATTTGGAGATATATATCCAATAACAACTTATGAAAGAATAATTGCTGCTATTGCTATACTCTTAGGATTTTTATTAACAACAGTAGTTTTTGTAGGCTCTTTAACATCTCTTTTTATTACTATAACAACAAGACGAGCTAGGTACGTTCAACAGTTGAAAAAAATACAAAATCATTTGAAACTTATTAAAATGGACAACGAAACTACAAAACATATTATAAGGTTAGTGGCTAACAAAATAACACTTATAATAAGTATTTTTGTTAAATATTCAATCTTAATTTTGTTTTAGGTACTATGAAGATCTATGGTATCAAAAATCTGGGGTCTTCAAACCTAAACTAATAAAACTTTTACCTGCGCCACTACAAATGGAAATGTTTTACGACCTTAATGCAATACCTCTCTACAGTTCTTTACTATTCAGAAAACTTCCGGAAGCATTCCTTAGAAGACTGTCCGTTACAATGAGTCACCAGTTTTATTTACCCGGCGACATTGTTTATAATCATAATCAAAACAAGACTGTTATGGTAAACCTATGTTTTTGCAGTGTCAATATTTACATATATCCTTGGATTGTTTCAATGAAACTATTCTTAGCGATTTCATTAAAAATAAATATTAGAAAAAGGCATTCGATTTCATACCATTTTATTTCTGATGAAATTAGGATGTTTTACAAATAATCCTCATTACAAATCTTGGTTATATTTTTAAGTAGTATGTATTTTGAAGTTACATAGTTTTCAAGTAAGAAGTATTTTGAATAATTAGTTTTAAAAATCAGTAGGTATATTTATTAATAATATATAGATCTGCATAACCAGTGGGGTATTGGAGTTGTTGTCAGATGAAGATGATGAAAGTCCAATGATATCTTTTAGAAAAGGGACATGCTTTGGTGAAATCTCTTTAGTCTACAATATACCAGGTTATATGTTGAAAATAAAATGTAGATTTTTTTTTAAATATAATTTTCTTATGGGTTAAATTTTCACAGCAAGGTGTACCGTCAAAGCTGCAACTTATGTTGAATGTCAAGTTCTTAACAAAACAGATTTTATAAAGCTGATGTTAACGTATCCAGATATTGTTGCTTCAATTAGAAACGAAATTCAGGAAAGAATATTAAGAGCTTTAAAAAGAAAACAAAAACAGGACCATAACGCTCCTTTGTCATTAAATATTTACGCTTCAAAACACCGCAAGAAAAGCAGTATTAAATGTCTCAAAAACAGATTACGATATTTACAAGGTACACAAAGAGACAAATTTATATTTTATATATATGTCGTAACTCTTTACGTATTTAGTATAATTAAATAACAGTTCATTAAAAAGGGATAAAAAATTAATTTGTAATAAGGCCATTGCCCTTGTAAGAATTAAGTTGTATTTGTTGTTAGTAGCTATTGTAAAATATTAGGAGAAATTTGTATACAATTATTTACCAAAAACATATTGTTACAGGACTTACGGACGTAGAATATTCTTCTCATGACGATGAACTGGATGAACACTGTTTAGATTTATACATCTTATCCGAACATGTCAAAAAGAAGATGACTGTATTTACCTGTTTGAATCCAAAATTTCCATGGGTTTTGGAAACAGAGTGTCACCTTGTTAAATATTGGGAACTGTATATGCTTAGCATTGTATTTTATGTGTGTCTTTTATACCCCTATTTTATTGGATTTGAAAGAAAATTCCCCGGTGGTGTGTTTTTCTACGCAGAGATAGTAATAATGATATCTCTAGTCCTGAATATGTTTATATCAATAGTTACAGCTGTGAAAACTAAAAAGAAGTATATAAAAAACGTATCCGGAATATTGAATTACCGCATGAATACATTAGGATTTTACTTGGATGCTTTGTCTATAATACCATTTGAGTACATTGTGACTATACATCGCAACTCTACGTATCTAGATAATTATGGGAATCACCTTTTTTATCTTTGCAAAGGAACAAAACTTTGCTTAGTCTGGAGACTATCAAACTTTTTTGAGAATTTAGAAAAGAAATTACTTTCAAACTCAATTCTGGTCAAAGTAAATTTTTTTAATTATCACTTTTATACCTATATTTTAAAAAATTTAAAGATTTATAACTTTCGCAAATGACTTATTTTTAGATAGCAAAGTACTGTATTTATATTGGGTTTATATGTTATTGGTCCGGCACTATATTGTATATGGAATCATGTTTCTTGAATAGATGCTCTCAAGAATCGTGGTTTGCTAGGGCTATGACTTGGGAAAATCAGAAAAGCGATGTATCAGCCAGCAAGTATGTATTGTAAAATAATAAAAAACTAAACTAATACATATAATCAATATCAAAGTAATTAACCTATTGCAGGGTTGTGGGTAGGTATGCGAACTTAATTATTTATCCATATATGTATGTACATATATTTTTTGCCTTACAGAACTAAATATCCAATATTGACTTCAGTTTACTTCGCGACCACAACGTTATTATCCGTTGGTTATGGTGATTTTTATCCCGGAGACCAATTCGATATGGGTTTCATAGCATTTCTTAGCTTATACGGTGTATTATTAACTGGATATTGCGTGTCTGAATTTTCCGCTTTAGTAACTCATTGGTCTAGGTACGTTTAAATTAATTGCAATTAAAAACTGATAAAATGTTAAGTATAATACTTATTGTTTTTAGAACAAAAACGGCCTTTTTAGAAGTTATAATCACAATCGATAAATTTATGAAGGAAAATAATATGCATCCAGCAATAAAGTCTAGAATAATGTCTTTTTACGAATTGCAATGGCAATATAACTCGGTAATATTTACACATAATTATAGACTTTAATGAGTTTTTGTAATAATACAGATCTTTTTCCACTAATTTGAATAGGGAGTGGAACTTACGGGCGAAAATTGGCTTGAAAAGACGGTTATACCTACAGAACTGCGAAAAAAAGTGCTACATCAAGCGAGATTTAAAACCCTGACTTCAATAAAGTTCTTCCAAGTGAAAAATAAAGCTTACATTCACACACTGACTGAAAGTATGTATTTGTGAATGAGGATACGATATGGAACAATGTGTACCTAATTATAACGACCAAAACATTATACACGCTTGACCCAGTTGTGTCAATAGTTGTCGGCAAAGCTAATTACTACTAGTTTCAACTAAAATCAAACGGTTAAGTATATTTCCTGTTGTTTTTTGATCATAATATCACACTAAAACTTTCAGTGGCACGTGACATTATTTTACCACCGGGTGAGATTGTTTATTATGGCGGAACTGTTACACGAGAGCTGTATATTATTGAGAGCGGTTACTGTTTGGTGACATGTAGAGAGATGCGAGACACCAAGAAGGAACGAGTCATTGGCCCCGGGAACCATCTGGGATTATTAGTGTTGTTATATGGCGTGCCGGCTGTCAGTACTGTAATTACTTTGACACATTGCAAAGTAAGTATTTATTTAGTCTAGTATCTAGTAAATGCCAGTGGAATCAACGTGTACTCTTACTTATTATACATATAAAACCAAAACATGATTATTGTTATAGTTAATAAGCATCAGTCATTTTGCGTACACGTCCGCTTTAAATCTCTTCCCGGATATGAGAGAACATGAAGGTCTATTTTCTAGTGAAGAATTAAAAAAAATTGAACAACATGCAAAGTCACAGAACGCCAATGCTTATTTAAAACACTATAATCTTTTAGTGGGTCCTCATAAAAAACACATAACAAGTATTGTGCAAAATCTGTTTAATGGTAGGTAACTAAAAATGTATTCGAACAGCTGGTGTTAACTGTAATATAAAGATATATTAAAAATACTTTATCCAATTTCATACAGATTCATTTATTAATTTGTTGGATCACTATAGTAATAAAAATGAGAGTTATTTGAAATCATATAAGAACTTCAAGGTTTTGAACAATATATCGCCATACTTGTTAATGCCTATCGTTATTAAACCCGACGGCTTGTTCCTCAGAACCTGGGCTGTTCTTAGAGTTTGCGCATCCTATATTTTAAGTCTAGTGATTCCTGTAAGTATTTGTTGAATATCAGAAGCAAAAAAATACTTATTTTATACATTTACCTACTATTATACATAACTGATGACTTTTTGTACCTCTTTAGATCACAGTTGCAATGGCCCCAACTTATGATAGATTTAACATTATTATAGTAATATGTGAAGCAATTTGTTATACTGACTTGTATTTAATGCTGCATGTCGCTTTTTATGGTTCTAAAAACCAACTGATATACCACCCCTATTTAACAGCAAGAAACTACCTCAGGGTAAGGCCGATTTAACTTCAGGTTTATGAACAAGTTTCATTAAAATAATATTTAAATAATGTAACGTGTTTCAAATGTATGACATTTCTTTATTTCAGCGAACATTTGGTGCTGATTTTATCACATGTTTTCCATGGTACGCTATCTGGAAATTATTTGTACCCAGGCATAATGAAAACCACACTAAAGGAGATCATTTTCTCAATCCACATATGTACCATTGTATCATTCGTTTGGCTAATGTTTTACAAATATATAAATTATACGCAGTTTTTTGGGCTGAATCCATAAATGCTTTAAAAAGGGTATTTTAATGCTTTCAATATAATTTATTCAAATGCTTCATTATTAAGTAGAACGTCTTTTAAATTAGGCATATATTTTGTTACAGGCTTATTTTATGAGTGTACTGCAATTTTTTCTGTTGACTATATTTTTCCTGAACCTATACACGTCAATATTATTAACAATGACATGTAGATACGTCACAGCTAACGATGAAGACGATTTTGTCAGGAAGGTGCATAAGTTATCAGTACTAAGTGGACCCTATATAAAAACACAATACAATCCGGGCGGAAACATAATATGCAAAGTTGGTAAGATTAAATTAGATAACTATACCTACACAAATATTATCCGGTTTTTAAAATACATAAGATTTTTATGAACTTGTTTATTAAGGTTCTTGGTTAGATAGCACAAAGATATTTAAAGACGCCTATTTGAGTCCATCTAAAGCATATCTTCTGTCATATTATTGGGCATCTACGAGTTTCACTGGCGCTGGATTCGGTGACATCACAGCTCAAAACACCTCCCACATGATACTCTCTATATGTATAAACATACATGGAGTGTTGTTTTTTGGGTGAGTTGATTTTCTTGTTCCTCCCTATTTGGTTATACATGATTAATTCTCATATCTATATTTTGTCACCGTATGTGATTCGAATAACAAAATAATTAAGTAAATGTAGCAACAGAATGGAACAAACATATGGAATAAAGAAAATAAATTTATATTTGAAATTATTAAGAAATAAAATTTTGTTAACCGATCATACACAGAGAAAGTCAGTAGACAGGATATATTATTGGCCTAACGTTATGTACATATATATATAGGTTGTCCCATAAGTTTTTTCCCTTTTTTTTGATGCGAAATGAATACACGATATTTGTTGTTTGAGGTTGATTTATTGTATTATATATGAACCGTTCTGTTCTATAACCTTTTTTCATCTCTCAGGAAGCCTCATTATGCCCTCTTTCCAAAATTGTTGAGGCTTACTTGCAAAATATTCATCTGTGTGCGTTTTTATTCCGCTTATGGATTTGAAAGATTTACCACGGAGATTTTTTTTAAGAAGAGGAACAAGTAATAATCGGAAGGAGCAAGGTCTGGGGAGTACGGAGGATGAGGTAGAACGTCCCAATCGAACTGTAATAATTTTTGTCTCACGACCATTACGACGACACGACGAAGAAGCAAATCGCACGTAGAGACGCGGTTCATAAGGCCGATCTCCGTCAATAGGTGTGGAACCCAAATTTCATACCGATTTGCATATCCCATCTTGATCAAATGCCTATGTACCGTTGTCTTGGGAATATTAATGTCATCCGCTATCTCGCGGATTTTCAGAGAGCACAGTCTAGATAAGGTCCGCATCCGTCGTTACCGGGCGGCCGCTGCGGTCTTCATCTTGCAAATTAAAATTGCCGGCTCTAAATTTCTTAAACCAATTGCGGATGGTCCTAATGGTCGTAGTACCACTCCCGTAAACGGTGCAAATCTCGTCTGCAGTGTTCTTTGCACTATTGCCTTTTTTAAAGCAATGAAGCATAACATGCCGTAAATGCTTCTTTTGGTTCTCCATATTGAACGGGGCAGATTTTTTTTAAAGAGGCTTTGTCACCAACCAAACGTACTTTGAAAGAGCTCTGGGACGACTGAAACCGATGCCATAAACGGCTAAGACATAAGCCTGCATGTTTATATAAGCATAGCCAGTCAGACTCATTCATAGCGTAGCGCGGAAGAAACTTATGGGACAACCTAATAAAATGAATTTTTATTATTTTAAAGATATGTTTATTCAAAAATTGCTTCCTTGAAAGCAATGGCTGATCAAGTTGTGACAACGTTCCAAGAAAATCTTAAGCATTTAGAATTATTTTTAAATCGAGAAAAAGTCCCCTATCTTCTAAAGAAAACGGCTATCGAATATTGGAAATATCAATGGAAAAGAACTGGCGGTTGGTCGGTGAGATAAATGAGTTGCAATTCATATTAAAAGACAAAATTGCCTGATATCATATTACCAATTATGCGAAATAACCTGTTATTTTTATTAAGCATCAAAAAATTTTGGGAAAACTACATGCCAACTTAAATGAAGATGCCGTTTTATACATGTACGAAAAAACATTAAGAGAAATACCGTTATTTGAAGACGTGGAATATTCTTTTTTTCGAGCTTTTGCTAAAAATCTCAAAGAACGTTATCTTCAAAAAGGTTACATGATGCTCAGATCCAATGAGGTCATAAATAACATGTATATAATTTATCGCGGTAAAGTAAGTAATTTAGTTTAAGAATCTTTTGAAATTATACGAGATAAACATATATTATCTAATACCTTTTAAGGTGGATATAATAAATAATACTAATGAAGTAGAGGCTTGTATGGGGCCAGGAGGTATTTTTGGAAACATTCGTGGAGCTACCAGATATCTAACCATATCTAATGTAGTTGCTTCGAGAAATACGGATTTGCTAGTCATCGAAGGATCAAACTTTTATACACTATTAAAAGTAAGTTTCATCCTATGATTTTTGAACAGTCATGGAAAAAGTATTTATTTTAATACTATGGTATATATAATGAGATCAAAGATTTTCGCGAGTCATTAAAATGTAACTAATTTTTTTCGGACGAGCATCTCGTCTGCTCGTGATCTATGTAGTTTTTTATCGAAAATAAAATCGCGTAGCACCTCCGAAAAATATATGTTTCAGTATAGTATATACAAAAACATACATGAAAAATACTTTTTTTAACTCCTTACCATCTCAGACTACATTAGACATTTCTACTTTTCTAGTACTTTCCGTCGGTATTACGAAAAGTTAAATATTGTGTTGATTCTACTACAAAGGATTATGTCTTGCCAACAATAATGTCGGAGCAATCCAGTGCTGAAGTTCGTATTATCCCTGAAATATATTGATAAACATATGGTCGTATAATTTAAATATTTTTCAATATTCAGATAAGAACGTTTCCTCTAACATATGACGCTGACGATAATGAAGATGAAGATGAAATAGACCAGGATGTTTATCTCGATGTAAAATCTAATTTCAATTTAAATACATGATGCCAAGGGACATTTTAAGATAATATTATTATTTCAGAGTCCTGACAAGAGTATTGCAGAATCTCATGGATCGAGATCAATTGCTTCTGGCGGATACTCTGATTATATTTCGGCCATTTGGCTAATAGTGAAACCTCATAAGTAAAAAAACATCTATCTATATTTATTTTGAAATCAATTTTTTAAAAGAAATATAACCATATTCTTTACATTTAGATGGTTCCAGAGCAGCATTGTACCAGATTGTAAATGGGTCATATTTATAGGTATTTTATCAGTTTTTTCGTTTTTATAAAGTACGACATTCATAATGTGTAAAATATAACTTCGCAGATTATCTCATAATCCTTCTTGCATACGTTGATTTTATGATCCTGGTCTATCAAATGGCTTTCTTGTCAAATGAGTACTTTTTCTACATCTGTGTTGTCTTTGATGTGATATTTTTGTACAAAGTGTTTCTGGATGTTCACACGGGATATATGAATAGATATGGAGATTATGTTTTGAATCCAAAGAAAGTGAGAAAAATGTAAGTGCTAACATTATTTACTTGGATGGAAATTAATAAGTGAAACCTAACAAGGATTTTTAATTATTAAAGGTACTTCTCTAAGATATTTCTGCGCAGACGCGACTTTCTAAGTAATTTGCCGATATGTTACTTAGCTTTTGCTATGAACTTGGCGCCATCAATGCAGCTCGCTCTATTCTGCTATTTAAGAACACCACAACTATTCAGAATATCGTATTTATTTACATATCGACAGTACAGAAAAATTAACATTGGTTCATCGAACTTATTTCTGAAGCTAACGTAAATTATGTAAAATATTAATATGAAATTAAATACTAATTATCTCCAAAAACATTAACGTTGTCTTCCGTTTATATAGAACTATTGGAATATGGGCATCTCTGCTTTCGCATGTGAATGCTTGCCTATTTTTTAAGATGTCCTGTTTAACGCCAGTTCAATGTACTTCAGACAATTGGATAACAAAAGGGAATCTTAATTTGAGGGTTAATTATGCCGAGGTAATATATATACTTATATATAGGTATACTTCTATTTTGGTATACAAATAGATTAACGTTTTCTATTTAATTTACAGGATAATTTCTTTGCACTTTATATAGCTTCATTGTGGTACATGATCAACTTATTAACCATAACTGGAACTGGAGATGTGACGGCACAAAATGATTTTGAAGTCATCGAAACCGTTTTTATAACTTTAGTTATAAAATTTTGTACGGGTTAGTATAACAGACATTTATGTTCTTTGAAACTATGGGACTAACTTGGAACTTAGTAAGATTTTAAGTGAGTGTTTAAATTTTTACAAGTTTAAAATCAATGAAAGGAAACATTTAATAAGAGAAAATGGAAATATTAGAAATCGCGTTTAATTCAAACAAATCCACATAAAACATTCTTAAGTACAAATCTTTGCCGAAATATTATTTATGTATTTGAGGTTTTTTATCTAGCGTATTTTCATAAGATTATTTTTTATGTTGTTCCAAGACTATATCGTCCTAACCTTTTTTACTAAATGGGTTAAGTAGTATTTCATTACTTAACTCGAACACTTACAAATTATTATTATTTATTTTAAAACCGCTTCCTGAACTCAGGTCTCTTAATATCTGAAATGTCCGCTATGATAAGCGCTCATTCGTCATCTCGAATCGAATACGACTACGCTATAAACGAGTTGAAAGACGGTTTAAGGGATACAGATCTTAGTGCCCATCAAATGAACAAGATGTGGGATTACGTTAGGGAACTATGGAACCGACAACAAGGGAAACAAGTAATTTTGTTTATATTCAATATACATTGTATATTATTACATTATATATAAATAATATAGTCTTATAATATTCTTATAACATTATTAATTATGCGAGCTATGTAAGCACGTTATTCGAATTTCTCTTGTCTGGAAATTACATAATGTTGTATAAAATATACAAGGTTATTTATTTAATATGATTTACAAATCAAGACTTTTTTATATAAAGCCTATCTATGTCATATTAATCTCAGAATTTGGTGTTACAGATATAACTCATTATAAATTTAAAGTTTTAATATAATTTAACAAACAGAAATTTCTAGAACGCTATATGTTTTTTTAAATATGCAATTACTTTAAGATGCCCGAGCTTGTATACCGGCTACCGTTTAGACTTCGATGTCACGTAATGCAAGCGGTTTACGGCAGCCATATAAGGGAATCTTTGATATTCAAGAAAACTAGCGATGACTTCAAACGTATGCTGGCTATGTGGTTGAAACATTGCGTTTTCTTCCCCGGTAATTACATCGTACAGTGCGGGGACGCGGATCAATGTATATACTTCATACATAGAGGACAGGTATTTAATATATATAATAAATGGGTATAACTACATACTAGGCCTAATAGTGCCTAGTATGTTTGTTTTATAATTATTATATACTACTAACATTAGGTTTTAAGTTATTTGTTACTAACACTTAGCTTTAAATGAATTTTTAATATGGATGTAATTGTCTGAAAAATAAAAATTATTATTATTATTATTATAGAAATAATACGCAAATAGAAACAAAATAATCATGAATACTTGTAAAACAATTCTTATAATTAATATCGAATGTTTCATTGTACACTAGCGGGAATCGAACCTGCAAACTTGTAGAAATAGTGTTCAAAAAGATTTGTTCAATTAAGCTATTGGGCCCTAACAGAAGTATTTGAATAAGACATATTGATGAATCCATCATTATATATTACTTATTACAATTGTAATTCAAGTATTTACGTATAAATGGCTTCATTTAATTATATTTGCTTTAACAGTAATATAAGGCAAATTTCATATAATTTTATACATCGTGTTATTGCTCATTATGTACATATGTACCAATAACTACAGGTGGAAGTGTTAACAGTTCATCAGAACTTGACAGAGTCTGTTTATGACATTCTTGGACCGGAGGATAGCTTTGGAATAGCTCAGGTTATGTTTAAATCAATTAATATATATGATAAAGTTAGTATTGATATACCTATGTGTGTTTGTCACTGTTACAAACAAAATCTAAAAGTGAAAAATATAGAGAAGTTTCTAATAAGAATTTAAATTGTATAAGGATTCTAAAAATAGGGTTAATCGTAGATATAAAAAAAAAAACGAATTATACTATTATCTGTCTTAGTGTTATTATAAATATGCATGTTATCGCGATGTACAGATGTTTGTTGTTCTTTTATTCAAAAACTATTTAACGGATTTGGATAAAACAGTAATATATGTTTTAATACTAATAAGAAGACTCCTTGTATCCACAAAGTCGCAAGAAAAAACTAGTTTAATAAATATCATATGAAAATGTTTGCATTTAATTAACAATAATTATATTTACAGGGTCTTTTTGTCGGTGTAACCCATCATTTCTCATTCAGGGCACGTACTGTCGTCGACATAGTATACTTGAAATTGGACGAATGGAAGTATTTACTTGATTTTTATCCGTCTTCAGCTAAATTAGTACGACGCAAAGTTGAAAACGTGTATCTAGCTATATGAGATTCTTGTGATACATACGATAATTAAAATGTTAAAATAATAAATAAAACAATATAAAAATAAATATTAGAACATATAATTTAAGATACACACATAATCAAAACAGTGGATAAGGTAGATTATAACCAAATTATTAAACAAAAATACTACAAAAAAAAAGATATAATCAAAGTACTACAAAATTATTGACTTGGTATTCGCTTACGCTTTTTACCTCGAGCAGATATACTCAATTGCTGAGTATTCTCAAGTATTTCTGACACATCCATTTGTTCTGCACTACTATTCCCTTGGGTTTGGCTTTGCAATAACTGGGTCTGCGTTAGACTGGAACGAAAACATATACATATGTAATATTTATATATTAGCAAAAAACATCACGATTCTCACATTAATTATTTTATTTGCTTCTACAAAAAAACAGTAGCAATAAATATAAAACAAAATAAATCTACTCGAATAAAGTTCTAAAATAATAGGTAATTGCTTTTTAACTCTATATTTAATTTGTTAATATTAAAGTCATTTAATTTGTTAATATTAAAGTCATATTAAAGGCCTAGTGGTTAAAGGGACCTCCTCTCATGCATGATTGCGCGGGTTCGATCCTGACAAGAACTAATGTGATTTTTCCGAGTCATATGCACTTTCTAAGAGTATTTAGACATCACTGATTAATGCACTCCCAAAGAGGGTTGATGTCAGGCCGGTCGTAAAAACAATTAGCCAAAACTATTAAGAAATATTTAAGGCAGACCGTGGCTAAAGCTGGGAAATTGTCAGGTAGAAGAAGATTTAATATGTTAGTATAAATCAGAGTTTTTGAAACCGACTGTTATTACTAAATTCTATTAAACAGAATTAAATTATTGCAATTTATCATTCATTCTATTTAAATATATTTTTTGTAAAATAAATGTTTTCACACATATTATGGTATTACAACGTCGAATAATATTTTTTTCTGTAATCAGAAAAATCTGAATAACAATTACTTCACAAATTTATTGTATTGGTCAAAGTATGAGTTATTAACAATGTAAGTTGAATCATTTTGATATTATTTTATTATTTTCATACATTAGTGTAAAAAAGTTGGGTAAAATTAATAAAAGTGAGGGATCATAACCTTGAGCGGTTCAGAGTAAGTTAATATTAAAAATTATTTGAGATTTAAGTAAGATATTAAAAAAATATATTCTTCAATTTGTTAAATTAACAAAAGTTGTCTTAATAAGGCCAACGTTTTAATAACTTCTAATGCTATTCCTTCATAAAGTTCAAGCTAAAATAGTTGTTCAGTCATAGTAAGAAACAAAAGCACTGAAAACTAACCAGAAAGATTGAGATATGATGACACAATTTTGTTAAAAATTCAAATATTTATACTAAGCTCTCAAAAAGCTTTATACAATATGATATGATTTAAACAATATAAAATAATATTTTTATTTTAGTTACATATAATTATAGACATATACATATGTTTATATTTTAATTATGTTAGGTTAGACTATTAAAAGAAATCTAAATCTACTTGGCTTAATGTCATTCTAGTCATTCTGGTTTCAATAACTTCAACATACTTAATAGAAATTTAAAAAAATTGTGATTTGTTGCCAAGCTATTAAAATTCTTAAATAAATATTTGTTAAAGCTTTCAAAATAACTATTTGATAATGGCAGGGCATGAAATCATTTATGAGAGAAATTAATTTGAATATGTATATATATAGGTATGGAAGTTTATTTTAACCTTAGAGAATGACCAAGAATACTAAACGCTTTATTACAGCAACAACCATAGAGCTTTATTTATTAGGAGAAACACTAGTTGCATATGGGTCTTCTGATATTGGTATTAAAAATAATTTATTAGAAAAGAAATGTTCATTTAAAACTTATTTAAATTTCTTCTTTGACTTTTGTAGTGTTTTGTCACTTTCTTCCTAACCAAGGAAGAATTATATTATATAAGGACTCTCTATAGGATCAACTGGTAAAACCTAATGGGTAACTTTTTGTGCACATAGTTCTGTAGTAGTTATAAAGTAACCATATACAAAAATCTTTATATTCTAGTTTGAGATGTCCCAAAAAGTAGTTAAGTTGTAATAAGAACATTCTCAAAGAAACTTACTGCATTATTTAAAAAGATTGTCATAGCTCTGATACAAATAAATTATAAAACCGACAATCAATAAACATTCATAGTTTTTTATCATTTAAAGCTCCACATTGTTATTGATCTTTGCAAATGTAATAAAATAATATCTTTACTTATTTTTTTATTTCTTTTAAGGAACACTATCATATATATGATAACTTAGAATTTAATATTCATTTAAATAAAATTAATATTTTGGGATGTAAAATGGTAATGAAGAAAAATGTTATGTCATCTACGCATGATCATGATTGCAAAGTAACTGAAACGTCTGATGCATGTAGTTAAAAATATAAAAAATGTGTAGTTTAACTGAAAATATTAGTTTTATATCAACATTTTCGTACCTCGAGTTATTAAGTCGGCTTAGATGAGTCTCACTGTATTCAGCTCTGCAGCACGGCCATTGTCTTACTCTATCCAAACATACATTCAAACAACGAGTGTGAATTGTTTCATCACATGCTGGACAATTAATGCCCTGGAATTGAAAAATTTATCTGTTAACACATATTTATTGATAATATTAATTGGTATTCATATATAAATTAAGTAATATAAAATGAAAATTAATATTCAATGAAATTGAAGGACAACATGGAAGAAGATGAATTGGGGTTGCTCATAATATTCCTTATATTGTATCTTGGGAAATATTATATTAAAATTTTACCATAACTCATTTTTCTAGACAAATTAATTACTAAATAATTTAGTTTTCATAAGAAAAAACCACAACTAATTAGAAAAATATATTATTAAAACTATTATTATCATAAATACAGTGGACCCCCGGTAATCCGGCCCCTGTCTAATCCGGCACCCCCTGTAATCTGACATGATCTTTTATTTATTATTGAATACATATTTTGTATTCGCTAATGCATGATTGAACAAGTTACAACTTCTACGCACCATCACTACTGTGCTCGACGCGTAGGGTATTGCTTTGATTCTGATTGCTTAGTTAGAATTTGAATTTGTACTTCAGAGTACATATGTATATATAATATGTAAATAATCTTATCATTGAATCTGTAATTTGTTGGATTACAAGGTACTCTTTTGTAAAAAAATCCGGACTATAGGGGGTCTTAGGCAGTACTCTATAATCCGATGAATTCGATAGTTTGACACTGCCCTGCAAAATGTTTGTCGGACTACCGGGGGTCCACTGTATACATTAAATTTCAACCTAATATAGTAAATTTTGGAGAAATATATCTGAGATTCATGTTTAACTTTCATACATACCCTAAAAACCATTTGCTTGCATATAGTACAGTTTTTAACATAATCTGGTAAGTTGTCTTTCAAGTATCTCTCGAACTCATGAATGGCTCGTATACCTAGTGCATAGTTAGTTCCGTTTAAATCCAAATAATGCATTCTATACCAGGTTTTTAGTAGTACCTGAAAAATGTTAATAATAACTCATAAATCAAATATAATTTAACTTTTTTGTATGAATACATTTTCATAAATATTACTTGATATCATCATAATACCTTGGTATTGTTGCCAATATTGTTAATTATTATTACCGTCATATCAGTTAGTATTGTTTGCACAAGGCTAATCAATTAAAACTAGTGTATGACATAAAATTATCATAACACTTTATCTTTATAAGATTCACCTTAGATTCAATGGCAATTTATTTGTAACAGATTAATACTTAGAAAAGGATATATACAGTAGAAACTTGATTAACCAGGCTAATTGTTGCCATTAGGCATTCAGATAATCGAAAATCTGGATAATTGAATGTATGAAGAAAAGCCGGTTTTGTCCATATGTAGTTCATAATATTATATGTTTATTTAAAAAGTAACAAGTACATATCAACGAAATCAATGTTTATTAATAAATAATTAAAGGATACTTTTTCTTAGACCTCATATACATACATATACATGTATGCACTAAAAACTGTAGCTTTAATCATGAAATAAATTACAATATGTATTTGGTAATTTGCAATTGGTGATAAGTTTAATTTGGTTTAGAAGATTTGGTAATAGTCATTTGACATACACCACTCTCAACAACACCACTCTCTTATGCTTTGACATTCTTTCTTGTCCGGACTTGTCCGTAGTTCGGATAATTGTGAATCCGTATAACTGATGGCCGGATAATCGAGTTTCCACAGTATTTCTATGTTATATAATAAAAGACATACAAAATTAATATTTATTTAAGTATGCTAGAAATTCAAAAAATAGTTGCAGTAGAGTTCTCAACTATCTTATTTACCTCAGCATCTGTTATATGTAAAGTTGGTTTAACTTTACTAACTAAATTGAGTGCTCGCATTACAGAGATTTCCCTGTTCTCAGTGGTAACAATTTCTTCCATTAAAATTCTAAAATAATCTAACTTATTTGGAGCAAACATATTTTGTAATTTAGTTGTTTCATCATAACCAAGGCAAAGAAACACTAGTTTTCTTTCTGATGTCAACTCATCTATGACAATTTTAATTGTTTGCTCAAATGGTCTTATAGATTTGTTTATATCTTCTATGACATTTTCTAAGGAGGAATTGGAAAATTCTGAAAATTAGGATAAACTGTGATTTCTCTGTTTGTGTTGATGCACATTTTAAGGTAATTCAATAAAAATATCAAATTGCAAGTAAAGTTTTTAAGAAGGGAATATTTAGCCATGTTAAAGTACCTGGTAAAGATTTGAACATCTTCATACCATCTTCAAATGTTACTACGCCTTGACTTCCAATTGAACGTAATAAAAATCTATGTGAGTTACCGTACACCATTTTTAGTAATACTAATACGGTTATTAAGTATATTTACACCAACTTAAGGACGGATCAATTATCAATGTTGCTAAGTATTTGGGTAATCTAAAAAATAAAACATACTGTCAAATGTCATATTTATTTATCACTGAGTGTCTGATTCTATACTTACCAGCATTAGATTCAAGGATAATAATCTTATTTAAGACATAATTATCATCATATCACTTGTTAAATTATTAAAGACCTGTAGCAGTTAATTATTTTTTACTCTATTGTAAATTGACAGGATTTAAATTTTATCCATGATTACTACATGAAAAATTACAGTCCACGGATTATATATTAATATACCACAATTAACACATATATACATACATACAAGTATATATTTAAATTGTAATATTTTCAAAATTTCTTAGATTATTTTGATATTTTTTGTTACTTAAAACTTGCGAAACATCCTATATATTTTTTTTATTTGTTTTAGGAAAAAACTGCAACTATGTTCTTATTTTATAATAATACACGTTTATTTCAAAAATTTTCCCCAAACATGACACTCATATTTATTACTGCACTTTAATATTTTACTAATCTCTTTCTTTTCACTCACATTATTTTTCTAGTAATACTCTTAAAAATATATATTTGAATCATTATTTGTTAATAAGTTGCCATCTATCAATGTAAAAACGAAACAAAAATTCCTTATATTATATTATATTCCTTCTAATCGGACTGCTGTAACATTATGCGCGAATATTAGCAATGTTTAAATGAAATTAATATTTTCTGATTACTTCACGTATTTTATTATGTTTAAAAACAACATGCTCCCTAAGTTTCGGTTACTTTGCAGCAACCGTGATCGCGGCAGGCACCTCGTCTGCCCGTTTTTAAAATATTTCATTTTTTCAAATTTTAATCAATACTTGCGAAAGATATGATTATTATCAATGTTTTAGAGGATAAAATGATGAAAATTTTTATTTTATTCTTAAAAAATATTCTGCTTACCCCACCCCAAATCTCTGTGCACGCCACTGAATTAACTATATACTCACTGCTCTTCTTATGAAGTACATATATACGTCAGAAAATTGATTATCTACGAAATCTGAGTATATATGTTTTAAAATAGTAAAAAATGTGGTAAATCATCTCAAATATCTTAAAGTAAGTAACGGCTACCATAAAAACTTAAGTGATAAACATTGGCGCCATATCCACACCAACATCACTAAAACACATGGAAAATACTCTATATTCTTGTTACACTCAGAAAACATACATCATTATTGTTAACTAATATGGATACAATTAAAAATGATTTCTCTTGGTCTCATCATCATCAGCCTATCAGAGCCCACCGCTGAACAAAGGCCCCTTCTCACATGGAGAAGGTTTGAGCAATAATCACTACGCTTGCTCAAGAACGGTTGGCGATTTCAAACTTATAACTTGAAATTATAAGTCCAGGTTTCCTCACAATATTTTCGTTCTGTAATCTAAACCCATTTTTGACATCTTTTTAAATAATTAAATCTTAATTATTCCAACATATTCTGACAATTTTCCTAAGTATAGAGACCACCCATAGTATTACGTAACTAACTTATGAAAACGCACACCCCCAAATATCAGAAACTTTCCAAAAAGTTCAAGTTCCTTTATTATAAAGTTTTTTGAAACCTAGTTTTGATATAATACAAATGTTTGTAAATGTTCATAATCTTTGAAATCTTATCCAATCTGGTTCCGCCCTGGTCACAGCACTGTAAAGCTTATGAAAGACATACGTATACATTATGTTCACGAAATTCTTTATAATCTCCGTGATCATCTTAATTCTTGATTCCTAAAATGTCTCAATTTAAATTTTTTTTTTACCGATATGCTTTCAGATATTACACAGCACGAATTTCATGCATATTGTAAATAATATCAAATTCAGACAAATTTTGTGTATGTTAGAAAAGTTAAATCGACTATGTACTATGCATTGTAATAAATTAGAAGCATAAGAAGTAAAGATAACCATAATATAAACTCATCAAGCTACTAGCAATGCTTGTCTTATTGAAGAGAAAATTAATTACGAAAAATGAGACATTATGGCTTTTAAATAGATTTTCCACTTTGCACTTTAAAAATTTGAGTAACTTATCAACTGACCAGTTCAGACGTCGATATTTTTAAACAGAGTTTAATACTGAATACCTGTAGATATAACGAGATCTAAGATTTTTGCGAGTATTCAACAAAATAAAAGAAATATTTTTCGAATTTACTACGCGTTTATGATTATATTTAACAACATACTCTCGATGTTTCGGTAACTTTGCAGACACTGTGATCACGGGCAGACAAGATGTGATACCTTTCCCTGGCACCTATAGATTTATTTTACTTCCTTTCTCAGTTTTCTAACTCCGCCTCTCCTGACATCAAGTCACCCCGACCTTGTACATCTTACATTAAATACTAAGAATGATATTTGGAAAAATAAAAAGAGTGGTAATATATATGTTTTTTGGCTACACCCAATAACATAGTAGGTGAGTACAGTTAACATATTATGAAACAGACAATGTTATCAAAACGAAACACAGTTAGCATTCATTCAAAAATATAATTCGTTTTACAACACCTGAAACAGACCGCGATACTAACATAAACAAAAAAGGATTTTTGTAATTCTGCATCTGAAATAGACAATGCTCAAAACAAAATAAAGTAAAAGTTCATTGAAAAAACTTGTGGTTCAATTAAAACCAGAACGTTAACTGTTCAATATTCACCTAAGTTAGGTTATCTGAAACAGATTGTCATTTATCAATACGACTACCTCATTTATGTGACAACGATTTTTGCACTGTTAATTGTACTTTCTTCCAAAGAGAGTATTAATAAATATACAAATAGTTTTACTTTGTGCACACCCCAACTACTGTCTTACATTGGATTAAATTATAAAATAAATGAAAAAAAAAAGATCACTTGTCACAATAAATTTCTACACTACTTTCAAACGTAAGTGACTGTGAACCTTCACAACTTTATTTACCATTTAACTCTTTTCAATTTTAGTCTAGAACGAGTACTGAAATTCAATTCCGTATTTGCATTTGCGAAATCCATTCTAGAGCAAATCACACAGAAACGAAATGAACATACGTTGACCTTTATATTTAACCCAACGGATTTTTTTCAAAAAAGTCGTAGAAATTTGAGTTTTTATGGTTCACCAGCAATCAATACTTCTATACTTTTACTACATTAGTCACAAAAACAAAATACTAGTTTCGCGTTGTTTTTTTTTTATTTTCGTTAAATTATTAATTGTGTTATATTATTTTCGCGCAAATATTGACAGTTTCAATACTGTCGTCTATTACATATAGACATACAAGGAATAGGCTGTCATCATAAAATTAATACAAAAAACTATTAAAAGAAGTGAAGTAACGAATTTCATGAAATCCTGCCTGAAACCAAAGATTTTATCTCAGGAAATGAAGATAGCAAATAGAAACATGATACGTATGTTAGAAGATAACTTAGGAATTCTAAAATATAGAAGGCACTGGTTATCTTTTCAGTGATAATTTAAAAGATAGTTAATTAAAACAATTACTTAAAAGGTACCCAAAGAAAGGTAACAGATACATTTTTATACGGATGAGAAAAATTTAAGGATTGAGTAATATTAAACTTAACAACACCATGTTCAGTTACGCAAAAGGGCGCTATCACCACGACTTAGTTTCAGGTCATAACAGTCGATTCACCTAACCTTGGTTAAAAACTTCATCTTTTCTTGATTTAAATTCAATCCATTATGATTTATAAGCAGTATAAAAGTATAGCTTGCTCTAAACACAATGCTAATATGGAGTTCCTAAAACAAGCTATACATGGGCAGTGAAGAATTTTCTCCAAGAAAAAGTGCGTGCTGCTACTTAAAACTTACCTTAAACTTTAAAGGACATGGAAAAAACATTGAATGAGCTTCATTAATTTTTAAAAGTTTTATATTAATGTATCCCACAAACATACTACAAAAGTTATATATGTTACCTACGATTAAAAAATTCTTTTAATAATATTTATGGTAAGACAAAGTACTTACAGCGAATATGTACACACTACTAATTCTAAGAACAACTCAAATGATAACATAAAAACTCTGCTGCCATGATAATATGTATATGTACATATGTATGTATTCTTTTTCTCCAATTATCAATTTTTTAAGAACTCTCGACAACATAGCAATAGTCAAGGCGTTTAATTATATAGTTAGTATTATATTTTTAATATAACTTCTTAACATATATATAGTTTATTTCATATTAATTTTTAAAATTTCAATAACAATATTATTCAAGTGACTTTATAAATATTGATCCGGCTTATTGTGTATACCTTTTGTAATTATTTCAATAAATTCACTTCAATACAAAACCACCACGCTCTTGTCATTGTTCAGTTTTCGATAGACCGAACGTTAACAATTTCCGTAGAAGCAGAAACTTTTAATGGAGCAATTTGAAGGTGTATTCTGAGTCAGTTTCTCTCAGCTTTGAATTAAACCGCTCTACGCGTTTCTCATATTAAGTGGTTCAACAAATCAGAAAATCAGCTTTATTTTGTTTTGTTCTGGTTTAAAACCTCTTATTCCTCTTTGTATCTATATTTATTGTTTTACTTTTATGTAATATACCACGAGACCACGTTGGTACAGATAATTGTACCTGGAAACACTCTAATTTCAGTCACTTCTTTATAATATAGAACCTCTGTGCAACAATGAAAGTAATAAAATGATAATGTATTACGTGTTACAACTTTATTAAACCTAATTTAAGTCCTTTATACTTATACGCAAAATGGTTAACAACGGAAATAATCAGTGTTGGCGGAACCATAGGAGGTTTTCATAATTATCCATAACATTGCCATTTATAATATAAATAAACTTGATTAGTTCAAAAGTCCAACAAATAATTTGC